AGCGACGCCGGAAAAAATGTCGGACGATGATGAGAGAGGTGAAGAGTATCTCTTCAAGATCGTAATCATCGGAGATTCCGCCGTCGGTAAATCCAATCTCCTAACTCGTTACGCACGTAACGAGTTCAATCCGAATTCAAAAGCAACGATTGGCGTCGAGTTTCAGACTCAGAGTATGGTCATCGACGGAAAAGAGGTTAAAGCTCAGATTTGGGATACCGCCGGTCAGGAACGGTTCCGTGCCGTTACATCGGCTTATTACCGTGGCGCAGTCGGAGCACTCGTCGTCTACGATATCACTCGTAGCTCTACTTTCGAGAACGTCGGTCGCTGGCTCGATGAGCTCAACAGTATGTTTTTTTCCGATCTCGAATTCGAGTCTATTTCGATGGATTCGCTTTCAATTTGAGTGAGATCTGTAAATTGAGTGTTGATTTTGATTGGATTAGGTATCGGATTTGGATTAATTAGGTCGCAATTTGTATGAATTTGGGGTTTGAATTATTGATGATGCTAGTACTGAGAATTTATAGATCTGAAGATTAATTTTGATTAATTTTGACTTTGAATCCAAATCAAGTTTAGTACTGTTACATACTTTTCGATGAACATTTTGAAGAGAAATTACTTGATTTATGACCCGAAATCGAAGCGTTTTCCGATGCAGAAATCGATCAGCATTCTTGTTTTTGACATGTTTGATTAATCTATACTTTGTTGAGTTACAGATTGTGGAAACTTTTTTAATGTTTGGGTTTGTATTAGTTTTTGATGATTATGATGAATCTTTGTTTGCAGCTCATTCTGATACAACAGTAGCGAAAATGCTAATTGGTAACAAATGTGATCTCGAGAGTATAAGAGCGGTGAGCGTCGAGGAAGGTAAAAGTCTTGCAGAGTCTGAAGGTTTGTTTTTCATGGAGACATCCGCGCTGGATTCGACCAATGTAAAGACGGCTTTCGAGATGGTTATTCGCGAGATCTATAGCAACATTAGTCGAAAGCAACTGAATTCTGATTCTTACAAAGAGGAACTAACCGTGAATCGAGTTAGCTTGGTTAAGAACGAAAACGAAGGGACAAAGACATTTTCTTGTTGTTCGAGGTAACATCTCTGTACCGGTTTCTCTTGTGTACTGAGGATTGGTTTCGGGTTGAATCTAAATTTATAGAAAGACAGAGACATTATTATTCTTTTGGTTCTCAATTGAAGTAAAAGAAGAAGAGAGAAAGGTGTTTTGAGTTACTTTGTTACGGATACAAAAGAAAATGTTTAGCAAATTGGTCAATGTATAAGTTATTTTCTCTGTTTTCCTACTTGTAACTTTTGTAAACTTATGTGTCAAATCAATTTTGATATTTTCTCATAGCTATTTAGTTCAGTGGCATGCAGATTTCTACAAATACAAAACGATAAAACAGTAAAAGAAAAAAAAAATGAGAAAAGATTTTCAATATTCAATTTTGGTACTTAAAATTTCCTAAAATTCGACTCATCTAGCCCTGTCTTGCACGTCTCCATTGGGAACCTTAACTTCAGAAAATGTGGCAGTTGAAGTGATGTAATTGTACTCATTGGGTCCACTCTTTATCACCATAGTTCAATGAAAATATTTAATGTTGAATCAAAAAATTAGAAATTTTGTTTGATTTTGGACCTTTGGTAAGTATTGTTTTTGTAAGATTTTGAG